AGGACACCGGCCCTCCAGGACCGAGTTTGGACAGCACTGCTTTAAAGAGTAAAAATGTATGCTGGGTAAACACAATAAACACTTTGAATATCACTCGTCATCAGTTGTGAAAACAAACAGCTCTATGTGGTTTGCAGATGCAATGTTCATGCATTTGATGAGCTGAAAGTGTACAAGAAAAAAAGAAAAGAAAAACAATCACTTAATTATTAACCTGAATGAAAAAGGATGAATAGGCCACAGAAGTAGGTGATCCTTTTTTCTCTCTTTCTAGGTAAGGATTGTACCCAGGATGAAAGTACAGCAGCAGCCATCTTTACCATTCAGATGGATGACTACCTGAGGGGAAAACCGGTCCAGTACCGTGAAATCCAGGGTTTTGAGTCCACCAAATTCACCGGCTACTTCAAAGGCGGGATCACATATAAGGTATGAGACGAGTTCTAACCCTCTAGACCTACTCTCACAACACTTTTCTTTTAGTTTTTATGCTCCACTTACTCACAACAGCATATCATTATTCTTCACTTTACTTCGGGTTTGTCTTAGGTAAAACATAAAGCTACTGTTTAAACTGATGGAAAGACTGACAGCTGCTGCTGTATTTATTTGCAAATTGAGAAAAAGTTTCCTAAACTTCACAGTGTAAAGCTACTCCAATACCTTCCTACTGTACATAGGACCTTACGTTTTTCAGAAACATAAACTTAATCATGTGGTCTGAGGGGATGTTGTGTTACAGCACATGTTTGGGGACATTCTCCTCAGTGTTGCAGTTGGCCTCAGAATGAAAATGACTCACAGGTTTATAAATGGAAAGGGTTTAAAATTGGAAAAACAAAAAGAAAGAGCAGGAATTAAAAAAAATATATTTTCCTACCTCCTTAGAACGGAGGTGTGGCATCAGGATTTCATCACGTGGTCACTAACGATCTTAGTGCCCGCCGACTCTTCCACATCAAGGGCAGACGCACTGTCCGGGCCACAGAAGTGCCTCTCGCCTGGGCCAGTTTCAACAACGGTGACTGCTTCATAGCTGATCTGGGAGCGGTAAGATTTGCAACAAACATACAAATGGCTGTGTTATGTGTTTTTAAAAGGATATTTAACCTAAAAATGAAAATTCTGTCAACATCCATTCCCTTTCATGTCACTCCAAATGTATGATTAGACTTAGACTTTTTTTATGTGGAACATCCATGGAATTATTTAGCAGAATATCTACACTGTACACTGTACAAAAAGAGATCCACATCCATAATGACGTATGCACTGTATTCCAAGCCTTCTGAAATCAATAGTTTGTGCAAACCTTAAGTACT